TTTATTTCACTCTTTTGAGTGGAAGCTAAGCTATATTATCATAACCTGGACTCTACAACTAGATTTTCGGCTAAACAATTTATTAAAAACTTTATCCCTTATTTTTCTACATTTAGGGATGATTTTTTTTCTAGTTTTTTATATGACAGGGGACAAACGAACATACGGCTCACCTGATGGTTAGTGACTACCGGTAATACCATGAACAAATGTAACACCGATGGAATTGCAGGTGCGTTGCCGGCCTCTTATGTAGAAGTAAGATCTTTTCTTGAAGGTCTCCAAGTCGTATCGGTTCGGAAACATCGCCGGTTGTTAGCGATTACACAGAGGGGTCGTACGAGGAAAAAAACTCCTAGTAAAACGGACAGTGGTGGACCGCCAAGCATTCAGATTCAGGATGGTATCGTGAGTTTTGACGCGACGTCAGTTCTTGAAATTTAGTGGCTGGAAATAATCCGAACAATTCCTCAGAGTTTAAATGTGACCCTCATAGTAAAGCCTATTTTATAAAAAGAGACTAATTAAAATCGGTTCATAAATGGCCAAAACATCGCGCAAGAACATCACAAAAATACAGTCGAATTGTGAACCTCCTTTTTTGGCAGCAAGCTAAGATAATTACAACTCCAATATTCAAAGTTCTTATTCTTTGCTCAGAGGTTCTCATATAATACGTTTTATTCGCTCATATATATTTTAAACTTATTTATTTTCAGTATGATCTTCATTTGATCCGAGCAGGAAGGAGGTTGATAACAGTCTACTGCATAGTACACTTGCAATAATATTGGTGAGAGGGGGCCGCGGTGGAGAGAACGTACTCGATGCTCATTTCTCAGGTTCGACTCCCAGTATTGATATTGCTGGATATTACGAGCCAAAAGCTGGTGGAGTGAGGCAGAGCTAGGAAAATTATAGAGTTGAGTAAATTATGTTATTTTTTGAGAATAATATTCTTAAAAATTATATTTACTATCGCTAAAATATTTCATGCCGTAATTTTTTATTTGACAGAACAGTACATTTTGTATAAAGTAAAGCAGGAGTGAAAAAGCTTTAGTTCAACTAGCTAATGCGCTAGAAGATTTTGTCAGCTCGACTGGTAAAGGATCACGCTCTCACAGAATACCAGCGTAAAATCGGAGCTTAACACTGCTGTGTTTCGAATGGTAACATCGAATGGCTTACTAGAAACGGGGCATTACTCGTACATCTTTATCCTCACGGGTGACAACGCATCTGAATTTTGATTTGCCACCGCAACCACTTACCATCATATGGACTGTGTGCTCGTTTATCACCCTCATCCTATTTTTTATAGGATAGTCATTGACCTAAAATATCGACACAACATTGGATTCGATTAAACTATGTAAAAGCAAAAGTGTTTAATCTTTCTTATATATATTTTTCATTTAACTAGACTGAGCCGCAGAAACGCGTGGCCGGTGATACAGCTAGTTGGTTAAAAAAAAACTAAAAAATAGTATATATTGACATACTACATTACGTTTTGAAACTTCAGGTATATATGTATAATATTCAGAACAACAACAAAATTTTATCAACTTCAATAATGATCAGCCAAGTTAAGTTTAAAAGAACTTGGGTTCATCTGTAACTTTTAAATATTACATGAATTTATTTAATGCGACTTTTTAAATAAGTTTAATTGAGTTAATTAAAACTGAGATCTTATGAGTTATTTATGGACATGTACTTTTAAATAGGAAACAGGCCCCATAGTTAATAAATATAGTCCACTAATACACAAGAGTTAATCCAGAACTACTTTGTCTTATAAGTTAATTAAATAACATCTAAGAGCTAGAAACTAAGTCAGGGGATAAGTACCCGCCTTAAAATACGTTATAGTGCAGTAGCCTACCAAGTTCAATCTACGTTGGCACCAAAAAAAAATGTTAATTGACCTGAAAAATACATATTGAGAAATTAAAAAAATCAAGGACACGTGAAATTTAATAATTGATTAATTTTGATTATATATTATATAATCAAAATTAATCAGTGATTGTGAGTGAGTCATTTTGATTATATATTATATAATCAAAATTAATCAGTGGAAAGTCTACGAGAGTAGCAAGTTTCCGTTATCACAGGGTAATATTTGTTTAATCTGCAGCCGGGCGGCGACACCCGCCACCGACTATTGCTCCGACATAATCTAAGCTATATATTTAACATCTAGCACAATCGCTGTAAATCTCCAATATTAAAATATACCCCTCTTACATTTGAAAACATCTGAATATAAGATGGTTAAAACGAGCTTGTTTTAGGTTTTCTTTAAAAATAATAATATTGTCGCGTAAAAACAATATTTAATAAAATAGAACATAAATTTAGACAATTTTATAAGGTGAAAATTACAAGGCTACTTAGTTTAAATTAAAAATATTATTATGTTTCAAATTTGTAAGTACCTAATTAATCTGTTTAATTCGGCTCGACAAAGCTTTTTTTTCTAAAACCGGAATAAATATGTAACATTATACGATGGGCAATATTTGATTAAAATAATTCTTATAATAATTCTTATAAACATTTTAAAAATGGCAGGTCACACACAGTCGTGGAAATAGTTTTTGTATGAGGCACGGGTTAGTTATAATTTATTTTGAAATAATGATTATTAACATGTAAAAATACGAAAGTTCCAATTTTAATTTTTTTTCCCACATTACGACCTAAATTGAATTATCGCGTTTCATTGAAGAATTGATCTGAATTGGAAATATTTCCGCACGATTATTTTTACAGTATTAATTGTTTGATAGACTTTGTGAGATGAAGACGGCGCCTTTTTACAACTTTCAAAAAACAAAACTTATTCACATACACTCATCTCACAACAAAGTTGCCACTGAACCGACTATCGTTTCCCATAGCCATGAATGTCTCCATGGAATGTTTCAACACTACAGTGTTTAGGTACTTGTACACAAGTACGCTTGTTAACCCATTGAAAATGTCTAAAATCACATGTATGTTGGTCTGATTATTGATGAACGATTCTGCTGGAGAGCGCATAAAGATTACATGTGTGCAAAACTTCGCTCTGTGTTGAGTAAACGTTATGTTTTAAAATTAGTCACTTAACCCATATAACTTTTTGTAAAATAATTTTGTATATATAAAACTATTTGAATGTCTCCTATACTAACTCCGTCACCACTAGTTGGGACTATTGCAATTGAGGGAGGGCGGGAGGTGCTCTTCAATCCAGGTAAGACACATCATTGTAATTAGTTAGCGGAAGGTTGCAAAGTAATAATTTTTTTTATTATAACGTTTTGTAAATAAAAATACGGCTTTGTATCACTCGTCTGCAGTTATTTATTTTACAGAATAAAGGTAACTAGTTTGTCACCTTTATTCTGTAAAATATACGCAATCCAATCCTCCAATCATAGTTAAAATTAAAAAGCGTTGTCACCCCTGAGGACTAAGACGTAATGTCACGTTTCCATTAGAAAGGGTTTATTAAAAAGGGTTCTCTACACTCACCATACGAAATACACTACTAGCATTAAGCTACCATTTTATGCTGGTATTCTTTGAGAATGTTGTCCTTTCCCGGTCAAGCCGACCCATTCGTACTGCAACCATAATATGCATGTTGCAGCGTGACTCTACATAAAAAGGAAATTTTCATTCAATTAGGAATAAGAATAACCTGATTTAAGTTAAAAGTGCAAAAATAAATTAGTTAAAATACAGGAATACGAGATGTCACTCTTGGGAAATTATAAGTGATTGGTTTCGTAGGTCACTGCGGTTTTTAGTGAAAGATATAGATATAATCTTAAAATTGTTTTTTTTTTTAAATAAACGTGTGTTTTAATTTAGTCTGTGTCCGGGTTTTATTACGTACTCAAAATATTTTTATTTAAAAATATGATCAGAATACTATTGATTGATATTTGATAAATTTATTATTTAAAACATAATCTTGTTGTAGCACTGCAATATATTTTAATATTTAGTAAAATTCCTTTCCTTGGAAGTAAATAATGCCTCTAATATATTTTTTTAATTATTTTTATAAAACTTAAATGTAACACTTACGAACTAGAGGCATATGGAGCGAATTAAATACTATGTTGTGTTCTTTGCCAGTCAACCCTGGCTATTAAAGATATAATTATTGATATAATATTGACGTGTGCAAAATATCTAAGTATATGTATAAGAATAAGAAAAAATTGTGGCGGTGTAAGGGTGTCGTAAGAGCCAACAGAGGTAAAAACAGGAGATGGACAACGGCCTCTTTCTAATGACGACGAAAAAAAAAACGGGGATGCCAATGCATTTGCCAAGCGTGCCAACTAAGGCAAATGTGGGGGACATTTGCCTATGAGGCTATCTATTAGGGGGGGCCTATGTTGAACAGTGGACTTTAATAGGCTATAAGGAATACACGATACATAAAAATAATTGCTGGTAACGTATGGTATACAAAGTAATGCTCGGTTTTCACAACGTTTAATATTCCTTTTTTACTTATTGAGTACACAACATAGAGGAATTGTATCTAGCGCCGGTATAGTTGTAGTATCATTTAACTGTAGCCTTCGGCGCAGGTCGCCATCGTATTCATACGTTTCTACGCGAATCCTCTTGCAAAACCAGTAACCAAGACCCCTGTCTTACGGCGCTTAACACAGACCTCCGTGTCTACGGTCGCTAGACGCTTCCATACCGGAAAACCAACCGTCAAGACCCCTGGCGTATGGCGCTCAACCCGGGCGCTCAGTGTCTCGTTTGTCTGGTTATTTCCGAACAAAAGCAGTGACCACTCGGTTACTCGGTTACTCCGTGTCACACGGACGATACTACGCTTAAGTGTAAGTGAAACAGTGATTGTGTGGTGCATAAGTGACTAGACAATTATTGAACAGAGCGCTTGCGCATTTGTAAATAAAAATATCGTTTTGCATTTCTATTATATCGACTTATTTATAAACTGATACAACATGATTCGATCACCAAATGGCAATGAATCAAAATACAACTCACAACCAGACTTGTCCAGAAGGACGGAAGAAGAAAGTAATGTTAGTATCCGTAAAAGAAAAAAATGGACCACGACTGTGACTGCAAAGCTGAGATACAAGGACTACGCAGTGAGGTATCGCGTATGAATAATCTATTAGAAAATTTCGTTATATCACAGGAGAAATTAATGACCGATATGCGTGAAAATATAAAAACATTGAACGAAGAGATCAAAGATATCAAATCCTCGACTTCAGGGATAGTAAAAGACCAGGACAACATCAAAGGATGTATAACAGATTTAAATAGCAAATTTTCTACGCACGAAGACAGGCTCACTTGTCTTGAAGGTAGTCTCAAGACATCTACCACTACTACCATTGATTCATCAGAGCCGAATCAGTTGAGGAAATATGAAGAAATAATTCAGGAAATTAAAGAGAGAAAAAAGAGAGAAAAAAATATTATTATAGTTGGCATATCAGAACAGACTGCTACCAGTACTGAGGAGAGGGTTGCAAAAGACGAAGCTGAGGTTTTAAACATAACAGCCGTGGTAAGCAAAGACATTCCCAAGCCGATTAAAATTTTTCGTATTGGCAAATACAAACCTGAAAAGACTCGTAGAATTAAAGTCTGTTTTGACAAACCAGAGCCTGCAATGGTACTACTACGTAACAAAGCCAAATTACCATCTAACATCAAAATTTTCTCTGACCAAACTCCTGCTCAACAAAAGCACTTTCTAACCATAAAGAATGAACTTACAAGACGCAAAAATAACGGAGAAGATGATATTACGATAAGATACATAAATGGCATACCAAACATCGTTAAATCTGTCTCAAAAAACTCCAACGGCCAATAAGGCATACAAAGAATTCTGATATATTATATCAAATTGTAAGTGACTACAGACTCATACAGACAAGAAAATCAGGTGTTTCATTTCTCTACCTAAATGCAAGAAGTATCAGAAAAAAAGGAAAGTTAGACGAACTTAAATGTATTCTAAAATCGACACCAACACCTATACACGTAATATTAGTAACAGAAACCTGGATACGAAATGAAGAACAAGCCCGACAATTACAGATCGATAACTACACTCATTATTATAACTACAGGAACGATATCATAGGTGGAGGAGTATCAGCGTACATACACAACAACTTGAAACATCACTCTATAGAATCGACGTATCTAGAAGGAAACAACTTCTTATGGATACACCTAGAAAAATTCGGAATCAATATTGGCGTGGTATACAAACCCGGACATACCAATGTTGAAAAGTTTTTAAAAATATATGGTGCACAATTGCTACAACAAAAGAGATCGATTATATTCGGAGATTTCAACATAGACCTACTTACGAATGACAAAACTTCAACTAAGTACAAACATACAATAAGAGAATCAGGCCACAAGTTATTAAATAAAATTCACAAAAAATATTGTACTAGAGAATCAGAGACGAAGAAATCTATCATAGACCATGTCAGCACAAATCTTCAATGTGAACAATTCAATTTTGTTATTATTAACTCGTCCATGACAGACCACAAACAGATCTTCCTGCATTTGAATAAATATGAACCACACAAGAATTTAAGAACGACTTATGAGGCAATAGATTACAAAAGAATGTATACTGAAATGGAATCATATGAAACGGAAGCCACTGCAGACACTTACGAATATCTTGAAAATAAAATAAAGCAATGCGTAGCACGTAATCGAGTAGTGAAAACGAAAACACTGAACCCGCCTAAAAATGACTGGATCAACAGTGATATAATCACTGGGATTACCCAAAGGAACTACCTATGGTTGCAACACAAAAAAAATCAGGATGACAAGAGACTAGAACAAGAATACAAGCAAAAAAGAGACACAATAGCTAAACTGATACAAAATACGAAAAATTCCTACTACTATAAACTATTTACAAAATATACTAATAATCCTAAAAAAGATGTGGGCTCTTATAAATAACCTAGCAAATAACAAAACAAAACAAAGTAGTGCTCCTCCAAAGCTCTTAATAGACTCTGAACTAATTAGCGACACAGATGAAGTTTGTGATATTTTTAACAAATATTTTTCTACTATAGGTTCTCTATTAGCAAACAAAATACCTAACAAATATCACGATAGTACTTTGAATCCTGATTTCATACAACAAAAAATAAACGATCATAAACTGTCTGCCTTTACCCCATGTAATGCAAATGAAATAAATAAAATTATTCACAACCTAAATCCCAATACTAGTAGTGGAATAGACAAAATCAGCACAAAAGTCCTAAAATGTTTGCAAGATCTAATCTCTGAAGGCCTGGCACATTCAATAAACAAACTTATGACTGACGGCGAATTTCCCGATACTTTGAAGGTTGCAAAAGTAACACCAATTTACAAATCCGGGCCCACAACTGACCCAGGAAACTATCGTCCTATTTCTGTACTACCAATATTGTCGAAAATCCTAGAAAAAGTAATACATAACCGATTATCAAGTTACCTGGATTCATTTAACTTTATATCTCCACGTCAGTACGGTTTTCGGTCAAAAAGCAATACAACTGCGGCAATAGTAGATTTAACAACAAAAATTAAAGAAAACCTGGATAAGAAAAGGATTGTTCTAGGCATTTACATCGACCTGAAAAAAGCCTTTGATACCGTAAGTCACCAGTTACTTTTAAAAAAGTTAGAGCACATTGGTATCACAGGTAGTGCCCTTAAAATGTTTGAGTCGTACCTAACAAATAGAGTACAGATAGTCAAAATAGATAATAACCAAAGCAATACCCAACCCATTACATATGGTGTCCCACAAGGGTCCATATTGGGACCGCTTCTTTTCCTTATCTATGTTAACAATATAACGGATTTAAGACTACACGGCCATTTAACTTTGTACGCAGACGATACATGCCTATTCAATTTCGGTACAAATATGGACGAAATCATCTCAAAAGCTCAAGAAGACCTTAACATGTTGTCTGAATGGTTTCAGTCCAACCTGTTAACAATCAACATCTTAAAAACATGCTATATTATCTACAAGTCGAAAAATAAAATAATTCCCCCGCATGCTCCTTTAACAATTGACAACATTCCACTCGAACAAAAAACTTGTGAAAAATATCTTGGTCTGAGAATGGATAGTAATTTAACATGGAACAAACAGATAGAATATATAAAAAGCAAATTATCGTCGCTAACGGGTTCACTCTGTAACATAAATCAATGTATACCTAGGAAACTACGTTTCAATATTTACAATTCACTTATCAAATCTCATATATTATATTTAATAGAAATATGGGGCAGTGCCGCCAAAACGAAATTGCAGGAACTACAAAGAGCTCAAAATAAAGCAATAAAAATACTTTTCTCCTACCCATACTTAACATCGACTCGTAAAATTTTTGATGACACAAAAATAATGAACATTCGACAACTTTATATATATAGCACTTGCATTCTAATTAGGAAGATCATGAGTAAAAACATCCAAACTAGTTTGTCCTTTACCAAAAAGTCACAAATATCCAAACGCAGTCTTCGTCGACCTAGCTTGCTCGTATTGCCAAAGACACGTACCAAATTAGGGAAAAAAAATATTACCTTTGAGGGAGCACACTTTTATAACAGCCTACCTTCTCATATTAAAAATATAGATTCCTTTAACAAGTTCAAGTCTCAATTGCACAACTACATTCTTGAAAGCTACTGACTTGTAATTTCGGAGAGTGTCGCGATGGAACTGTGAATACGGTGACCGTTACCTAGATTAAGTTTATATTATTGTTCTCATGTAAGTGGATTATGTAATCTTTTTGTGAGAATAAATTCTTTAAACCTAACTGTAGCCTTCGAAGTAGGGAAGCCTGACTGTCGTGTAAACACTACGATAAATTCACTAAAATATAACACGTTGGTCGCAATCGCAATTTTATTTTATAGGAGAGGGGGCAAACAAGCGGCTCACCTGATGGTAAGGGAATCGCAGATGCATTGCCGGCCTTTTTAAAAGGAGTGGGCTCTTTACTTGAAAGTTTCTAAGTCGTATCGGTCCGGAAAAATCTCTGGTGGCAGTCGTTTCCACAAGGACGTCGTGCGAGGAAGAAAACTTCTTTTAAATCGCACAGTGATCTGCCACTTATCCAGATGGTATGGATGGTATCGCGAGTTTTGATGCGATGTTCGATGGTGAAATTGTGCGGCTGGAATTAGTCAGATACTCCTCCAATTCCTCAGAGCACTCCCTTTGGTAAATGCGATAAAATACATAAAGAGATGCAACATTTCTTCGCAGTGCCAGTGAAAGCTAGCTAGCTTTGAAATAAAAAAGAATCATCAAAATCGGTTCACCCAGAAAAAAGTTCCGAGTTAACACATGCAAAACATACAGTCGAATTGAATACTCCCCCTCTTTGAAGTCGGTTAACAATTGAAATAGGTAACAAAAGATTGGGGAGCACAGGATTGGGCATCCTTAAAAAATATTGAATAAGCCTACCGACGGAAGGATACCTATCCAAATATTCTAAGTGTGCAACTGCTCTCAAGTGTTATAGTCACCATTAACTTGCTAATTTTGTTATAACTCACAGCCTTGAACAGGCAGTTGGGTAACAGATTTTTTTTATTTCACTTTGAGTACCAATGGAGAAATAAAAAAGGGAATACGAAGAGGCTGCATTGATTCTATAGAAGCAGTAGTTTGAGAGCGTACTTGAGGGTCGAATGTAGTTGTAGAAACAAAATAATTATTAATATCGACCAAAATGAGAGCAAAACCAAATTCCGGGTAATTCGATATAATTCCACACATCATCGGACGAAAAGATTCTAATTTTATCATGTATAAAGAGGCTTTTAGCAGTTAAAACTAACGTGTTGTAAAAAATTACATTAGTTAAAATAAAATAAAAAACCTGATTTGATGATAAACTCGTAGGAGTTACACATTTATTATACCGTTTATGCGTATAAAGCAACATCCTGTCTTTACTTTTTTGAAACTTTCTGTGAACCATTTACTGAGGAAAGACGAAGAACTAATTGTTAAACTGAAAATTTTTAAAGTAAACTTGGCATTGGCGGGATTACACGTTAATGAATTTCGTCATTAGGGATTTACAATATACATTTTATATACATTTATGGTATAGGTAACCCTTTCGAATGTTATATAAAACTTTGTACATAGCTTTTACAAGAAAATAACAAACACAGTTCAATCAAACCCCTTCGTTACGAGGACTCGGGTTCCATAGGGGTAATTCGATACAAGGGTTACGGCTACGATTTGTTGTAACCCGAGAGAGCGGGTAATGTACGTCTTATCGAGGAAATCGTGTACGGAGAGCGGAAAGTCGTTTTTCCTTTCACGATAGTTGATTGTCGATAATAATGGCGTCTTGCAAGATGTTTTTCTTTTAGTAACATATGTGATTATAAGAAAATCTATGTATGTATATTATATACTACACACACATATATGTGTGTATATATATACATACATATAAAAAGTAAAAAGTAAAGTTACAGCCTATATACGTCCCACTGCTGGGCACAGGCTTCCTCTCGTTTCTGAAAAGATATTAGGGCAGGGAAGTGTCCGCCGCGCTGGCCCAGTGCGTGTTGGCGAACTTCACATGTCTTCGAAATATTTTTTTTTCTTTTTTCTCAAACATGTAGGTTTCCTCACGATGTTTTCCTTCACTGCCGAGCACGTGGTAAATCAGCACTTAAAATTGCAATTAACAATTTCATTGGTGCCGACGGGGATCGAACCCGGTTTGCTCACGTATTGTGAAATTTACAGCGAGCGCTAACCATCTGAGCTACCACGGCTCATATATATATATATATACTTAACCCTACCACAATTTTTTTTACTATTCTAAGCCAACCTTTACTATAATCCCACCTAATACTAATTTTTGATGCGCCTTACTATGCTGAAGCGCAATACTCAAAAGCTTATTCACTCTTTTCTTGAAGGCCCCCACATTGTAATCGGATGGAAAGACAAATGCTGGCAACTTTTTCTACCCCTTTGCTGTACGCATGACGTACGATGTAGCAAACCGTTTGGTTTGAATGCATGGTACGTCAACAACGACAGGATGGAGATTGGCTGATCGTCTGGATACCCGATGGTGAAGTATCCAAAGGGAGAGGGAGGAATTCAATTATGCAATTCTTGCCCACACTCTCTGAATGAATCCTGTAGAAGAAAAGCGAAAGAATGGCTACTTTGCAGCTGTGTTCTAGGCTGGTAAGATTTATTTTAACCAGATTCGAATAATTTATCGGGGAATAATCAATGAACCTCTTAGCACGCCTTTCCATTGAGTCTATAAGTGACATTCGGAATGGAATACATCCCTATCATGTGTTCCATCTAATAGGAAGTGATTACCTAGCCGACATGTAGCTAACAAGCAAGAGCTTATTTCTTTTTTTTTTGACAAGCGTATTAAAGTCTTCCTGATATGTAAGTGGCTACTACAGTTCATGGATACTTGCAGCCAACTGAAAAAAACCTAAAGATGTGTAGTCGCCTCTGAGGACTAAGATGGAATGCGTCACCACAGCTTGTCAGTATATACTAGCTCTCTATACGCAGACTAGAACAGAGCAATGCAAGTACTATTTTGCAGCGGAAATAGGTAAGAGCGGAAGGGAAAGGTCGAAAATACTACTCCTGCCTAGTTTGGATATGTGGTCGATATTTTTTATTCCTGAGTTATTTCCTCACATTGTTTTTCTTCACTCGCAAGCACACGGTAAATAAGTATTTAAAAATATTATATTAAAATTTGTAATGTTTTGTTGTTTTCTAAAACATGCAAATGTAATATTAGTACACATAATAACACACCTGGTTAATATTTGCTTCAGGGATGGCGTTTTTCCTACTGCTTTGAAGTTGGCATTAATTACTCCTGTATACAAGGGTGGAGACAGAAGCGATCCAAGTAACTGCAGACCTATATCTGTTCTTCCCGCAATATCTAAAATTTTAAAAAATTGTTAAATAATCGTTTGACTAATGATTTAAATAAATATAATATACTCTCAATATCACAATTTGGCTTCATACGAGGTCTTTGCACAGAAGACGCTATTTTAGGTCTAACATCACTCATTATTGGCCAAGACGACAAAGGATATAAATGTTTAACAGTTTTTCACGACATAAAAAATCCTTTGATAGCGTCTCAGTCCCCACTCTTGTAAAGAAACTTGAACAAATAGGCATTCGAGGTAAACCCCTAGATTTATTTATAGATTACTTGACAAACCGTAGACAACGGGTCAAAATAGGAGAGCATTGTAGTCACGATTCTACCATCACCTACGGTGTCCCACAGGGGAGTGAACTGAGTGCGACTCTATTTTTGGTTTACGTAAACTCCCTATGTAATACGTCGCTACAAAATGGGCACGTGTTCTCGTATGCAGATGACACTGCTTTGACATTCTGTGGTCGAAGCTGGGAAGATGTCCGGCATAGCGCTGAAGTGGGGTTAGCCAAGGTTGCAGAGTGGTTGAGACTACATTTATTGACTATCAATAGATCTAAGACTAACTATATATGTTTTACTAACTACAATAGGACTCAACCTAATTTTAATATTAAAATTCATTCTTGTGTTGACCTTAATAACTATAACTGCCCATGCCCTCACATAAACAAAGTATCAAGTACAAAATATCTTGGAATACTATTGGATCAGCGATTATCTTGGCATCTACATATTGAACCGTTAATGACTAGGATTAGAAAATTCATATGGTTTTTCAAAAATTTGAGACATCTCGTAACCTATATTAAAACAAGTATATATTTATTTCTGGTATATTGTATTAGTATTTGGGGAGGGGCTACAAAAACAAAGTTTTTAGATTTAAAAGAGCTCAGTAATGATCTTACTGAAGGTTATGACTTTTAAACCTTACAAATTCCCAACACTAGATTTATACACACTGTGTGATCTTCTTACAGTTCGTCAGTTATACATACTAAATTTAGTTCTTAAGGTACACAAGTCCCTTGCATATAACGCTGAAATTGAAAATAAAAGGAGGAAAACTAACGTAGCTCCAAGTGATCCGGTAAAAACAGCATTTGCAACGGACAAAAAAATCCTCTTATTTATATAACTACTTAAATAAAGAATTGAATATTTATTCTAAAACAAGTAAAGAATGTAAGGTAATTCTCATTTTGAATTTTGAATTTAATACTTAATATTATTTAAAAGCTTTAACAACTTAACTATTTTATCAACATACTAGAAATATTTTCTTTATCGCGCAGGGGACTTATTACATTTCCTCAAAACACCCAAACTAGAATCAAAGATTTTGGTACCATACAATAACATGTTCCGTGCTGGAATTGAACCCATAGCTCACAGCGTCGCAAACAAAGCCAACTATACCAAGAAGACTAAAGAAGAATTATAATTAATTTATTTGAAATTTTTTCTTTAAAAAAATGTTTGTTTGTAACGTATGCGAACCTCTAACAACTTATTTAATCTTTGAAAACAATTTGAAGTTTTAAGTAAAAAAGTAGGTAATACTTAAATATAATAATTTGGAAATGCGCAACGCAGCCGAAATAGCTCAGTAGGGAGAGCGTTAGACTGAAGATCTAAAGGTCCCTGGTTCGATCCCGGGTTTCGGCAGTAGGTTTTTTTAAACAAATTTAAAAAAAATATAAATTATTAAAAAATAAATAAAATATAAATAATTAAAAACCCTCAACGAATATAAAAAATATAAACAGTCAGAAAATCATAAAAAAAAATTTGGACATAAAAAATTTTAGTGTTTCTGTCCTCTATAATATATTTGTAACAATATTTTGTAATAACTTATATATATTAATATCCATTTTAAGAACCAATTGTAATGAATCTTTACAAACAGACGGAGACCAATGCCAGAAGGGATCTCGACTGTACATAATTTACTCGAATAACTTCAAGGTTGTTCTTTAACAAAAACGAAAAATTGATAAATTACTCCCACCCAGGAGAAGCCGGAACAGATTGCCACCAGTAAATACTTAGATTGATTTCATTTCAATGAAATAATTCGATTTCATTTACTTTTTACTAACATCGTCAAAGAACTAATAGATATTCTTAGTGGCAAATAAACAGGATTTTGTTATTAAAAGGTATATGATGATGAAACATCATCCAAAAGCGGTTTCAGCTAGATAAGTATATTAGTTATGTATATCAGCTTTTCTTTGCCAAGTGGTGGTGTCGTAAGAGAATCCATTCATCATTCGTTCATTCATCCATTATGTCTCGTGGGTTTTTTTGTAAGGCAATTATGGAACATACCAGAAAGAACTAATAGCTTTCGAGGTTCGTTCTTTCTAGATTGCGGTATTAACCATTGCCAGACCATGATGTGTTATTCGGGGTATTTTACCGGCGACTGTAATTGTCAAGAGACGACTTAGGAAACTCCTTTTCACAATAATGAGAGGCTCATGATCAAAAATGAAATTCTGGGAGCTGATAAAACGATCGATTGCGGAAGATCTCATAAAATACCAGTGTAAAATAGCAGCAACTTGCAACTGCAATGCTTGGGATGCTCTTCTTACGAACTATGTATGTTGTTAATGTAAAGACATATTAGTATGACCGATGTATATAAGCACTGCTAGTGCTGTCGTCAGCATAACAATAAATGTTACTGGTTAGCAATATGTCATTGATATGTAAAAGAAAGAAGGGAGGCGATAGCAAGCATCCTTGTGGTACATCAGTATTTAGAAATTTGCATTCTCCGCCAACTAAGAAATTGATGCTCATATGTGCAAGAAAGCTGGTGATCCAATTGCATAAATTCTCTGGAAATTCAGAGAAAGAAGCGCTTTTCTTAATAAATTCCACATTTGCGCTTTGTAAATTTTTGGCTAATATTCAAAAAGGAAAATTGCGTTCCCGTTTCAAGAGGCATTTACACTATTTACAACTTTTTTCTCTTTGTTGGCAGACACTCGACTGTCATAAAAATTCAATCTGAAAACAACGTGTCGGCTTATGAGCTGTAAAAAGCAGCACTTGTTTGGTGCAATCACATTTGGTTGAAAATTGTGAACTGAAAATATTTAATTCTGTAAAGATCTTTTATGAATATATCGTAATAAAAACGAGTTTTTTTTGTTTTATCACTGTTTTAATATTTTCTCTCGTAGTGTTTGTTGTGTTTTTACTACACATTAAAACAAATTATTGGATTAAACTTTAAGTTAGGCTTTATGAGGGAGTATTT